AACATAAGAAAAGTCTATGGATGAAAAGAGTTGTGCTATGAGGCGCGTGTGAGATCCGCGTCTCGGCAACGGGTGCTCTTAAAGGGCCAGCAGCGAATAAAGCGTTCTTTCAGTAAAGTTAAAAGAACAAAGGGAAATTAGAAAATTACTCACTGATCTTGAGTAAAGAACTTTTGTAGCTTTAATAAGGATTATTATATATATAATTTATGATTCAGGCAGCGCAGACTGTTTGATAACTTTATTCAATTTCTGTACCTGTTAAGACAGGAAGGGCACAGGTAAATATGTTTTTTATTATGGGTTTATGTGGGGATTGTTTGAAGTTCACTTAATTTAAAAGCTGTTATATATTTTTTTTAAGCGTAATAATTTTTTAAAAAGTTGATGGCTTTCAATTGATGGAATCACTGTAATGTTGGTTTGGTTGATGGTTTATTGATCATTATAGGTGTTATCAATCATTTATTGTTGTTGTTGTTGTTTTTAGTTTGAGTTGAGAAATAAACATTAATCTGTGTGTGCATTTTACTTTAGAACCAAGCAAGTTGGACTCATGAAACCATTTTATTATATCGGAGTCGCAAATCGCAATTGCAATCGCAATCGCAAATCGCAATCACATTTTCCCAAATCGTGCAGCCCTACTAAGCATAGATTATAGATACCATCCCTTCGCTATGTTCTTTTCAATGTGAAGCGTTGCGTGCTGTGACTTGGTGTTGCTTCAAGTGCATCATTCTGCACACGGGATGCGCATGATTGCTTATAATACTTTGGGGAGACAAGGGGGCGTGGCCTAAGGGAATAGCACTCGTGATGTTAAGTGATGTTACCCCGCCATCGCTGATACAACCTTTAGCAGTCATGTTTTTGCTTCTTGAGAGAGAGAGAAAGTGTGTGTGTGTGTGTGTGTGTGAGCAGTGGCGGTTCTAGGCGGGGGCCTGGGGGGCCAGTGCCCTGCGACAACAAGCTTGGACCCCCTTGTGGCCCCCCTAAATGTGGAGTCAGTGTGAAATATTTTTTTTATAGTGTGTCACGCATTGAGCATGACAGTCACTCGTTTCAGTCTTTTGTCTCACACTCCCGTCACACATTGTATTTCTCATGCGGAAAAACTATTAATAATATATTTAATATACGCAATTTCTCTGGCCGCGCCGCTCTCACGTGAGAATCAAGCGCGTCTCGCCTGGAGTTCAGCAGTCGACCCTGCTACGCATCAGCCAATCAAAAAAAGAGAAGTGCTACTACATTGGTTGTTAGTTTTATCTACAGTTACAAAAATCAGTATATACATTGTACTCCTCAAGCCGTACAACTTTCTAATACATAGTCATTAGCTCGGACCAAGAGGAAGTCAGATATTTTGGTCTGAATATGGTGAGCCTCTCTCTGAGCCTACGTCCCTGTATGGCAAGCCCTTTTAACATTTAAAAGCTAAGTTTGCCTGTCCGGAATTAACATTGTAGATATCAACAACGTCTTTCTGTCTAGTCGTTACACTTTGGATAGTTTGTATTATCATTTAAGATATCTGTAACATAATTGTGACTAGTCGAAATGACAGAGTATGGCAAGCCGTTTTAACATTTAATCATGAAAGGGCCAAAGCCTTCGGCACCGCCACCCGGGTGCCTTTAGGTAACTAAAGGAACCGGGGTTGCGGTGCCTCCGGCTTGGGCCCGCCATCGCTGCTCGCAGCTATATTTATACTTAAGTTTTAATATTTGTAAATGTTTTAGTTAATGAATTTAACCCTTTTAATACGTCACATAACAACGTAACATACGCGTTATTTCATGTTGTTTCATGTTCATTTTAACAAAGATATTCTATGAGAAAGTGTGTGTTTCTTCAACCTTTTAGGAATTGATGTCTTTGCCAAAGATCTAAACACACACACACGCACACACACACACACACACACACACAGACTGAGTGTAAAACCTTTTTAAAAGGGTCCGGCAGTGGTCAGCCTGTAATCAGACTTCTGGACCTTTAACTTCTCAACACACTCTTCAGGTTGAGGCCAGAGGCAAGAGACACACGCACACACACACACCCACACACACTCACACACAGAGAGAGAGACAGGGTGCAAATTGGTTTTCAGCAGCTGAATAGCTCAGGCTGTAAAGAAGCAGTGCATGATGGGAAACCCGTCAGCTGGAGCTGTGCTTTGCTTTCTTCCTAAAGCCCTTTAAAGTGGAACAGATCAAACTTTCCCTCTTTTACTGATTCCTTCTTTAATTCCCTGCAGAGTCCGTGTTGAGAATCAGACACCAGCGCACTGCGACAGCACTGGAGCGTTACAGTAAATCAGTGTACAGTAAAGCACTGCGACAGCACTGGAGCGTTACAGTAAATCACTGTACAGTAAATCACTGCGACAGCACTGGAGCGTTACAGTAAATCACTGCGACAGCACTGGAGAGTTACAGTAAATCACTGTACAGTAAAGCACTGCGACAGCACTGGAGCGTTACAGTAAATCACTGCGACAGCACTGGAGAGTTACAGTAAATCACTGTGACAGCACTGGAGCGTTACAGTAAATCACTGCGACAGCACTGGAGTGTTACAGTAAATCACTGTACAGTAAAGCACTGCGACAGCACTGGAGCGTTACAGTAAATCACTGTGACAGCACTGGAGCGTTACAGTAAATCACTGTGACAGCACTGGAGCGTTACAGTAAATCACTGCGACAGCACTGGAGTGTTACAGTAAATCACTGTACAGTAAAGCACTGCGACAGCACTGGAGCGTTACAGTAAATCACTGCGACAGCACTGGAGCGTTACAGTAAATCACTGCGACAGCACTGGAGCGTTACAGTAAATCACTGCGACAGCACTGGAGTGTTACAGTAATCACTGTACAGTAAAGCACTGCGACAGCACTGGAGCGTTACAGTAAATCACTGTACAGTAAATCACTCTGAAAGCACTGGAGCGTTACAGTAAATCACTGTACATTAAATCACTGCGACAGCACTGGAGCGTTACAGTAAATCACTCTGACAGCACTGGAGCGTTACAGTATATCACTGTACAGTAAAGCACTGCGACAGCACTGGAGTGTTACAGTAAATCACTGTACAGTAAATCACTGTGACAGCACTGGAGCGTTACAGTAAATCACTGTACAGTAAATCACTGCGACAGCACTGGAGCGTTACAGTAAATCAATGTACAGTAAAGCACTGCAACAGCACTGGAGCGTTACAGTAAATCACTGTACAGTAAAGCACTGTGACAGCACTGGAGTGTTACAGTAAATCACTGTACAGTAAATCACTGTGACAGCACTGGAGCGTTACAGTAAATCACTGTACAGTAAAGCACTGCGACAGCACTGGAGCGTTACAGTAAATCACTGTACAGTAAAGCTTTGTGACCACACTGGAGCGTTACAGTAAATCAATGTACAGTAAAGCACTGTGACAGCACTGGAGCGTTACAGTAAATCACTGTACAGTAAATCACTGCGACAGCACTGGAGCGTTACAGTAAATCACTGCGACAGCACTGGAGAGTTACAGTAAATCACTGTACAGTAAAGCACTGCGACAGCACTGGAGCGTTACAGTAAATCACTGCGACAGCACTGGAGAGTTACAGTAAATCACTGTGACAGCACTGGAGCGTTACAGTAAATCACTGCGACAGCACTGGAGTGTTACAGTAAATCACTGTACAGTAAAGCACTGCGACAGCACTGGAGCGTTACAGTAAATCACTGTGACAGCACTGGAGCGTTACAGTAAATCACTGTGACAGCACTGGAGCGTTACAGTAAATCACTGCGACAGCACTGGAGTGTTACAGTAAATCACTGTACAGTAAAGCACTGCGACAGCACTGGAGCGTTACAGTAAATCACTGTACAGTAAATCACTCTGAAAGCACTGGAGCGTTACAGTAAATCACTGTACAGTAAATCACTGCGACAGCACTGGAGCGTTACAGTAAATCACTCTGACAGCACTGGAGCGTTACAGTATATCACTGTACAGTAAAGCACTGCGACAGCACTGGAGTGTTACAGTAAATCACTGTACAGTAAATCACTGTGACAGCACTGGAGCGTTACAGTAAATCAATGTACAGTAAAGCACTGCGACAGCACTGGAGCGTTACAGTAAATCACTGTACAGTAAAGCACTGTGACCACACTGGAGCGTTACAGTAAATCACTGTACAGTAAAGCACTGCGACAGCACTGGAGTGTTACAGTAAATCACTGTACAGTAAATCACTGCGACAGCACTGGAGCGTTACAGTAAATCAATGTACAGTAAAGCACTGCAACAGCACTGGAGCGTTACAGTAAATCACTGTACAGTAAAGCACTGTGACAGCACTGGAGCGTTACAGTAAATCACTGTACAGTAAATCACTGTGACAGCACTGGAGCGTTACAGTAAATCACTGTACAGTAAATCACTGCGACAGCACTGGAGCGTTACAGTAAATCACTGTACAGTAAAGCACTGTGACCACACTGGAGCGTTACAGTAAATCACTGTACAGTAAAGCACTGCAACAGCACTGGAGCGTTACAGTAAATCACTGTACAGTAAAGCACTGCGACAGCACTGGAGCGTTACAGTAAATCAATGTACAGTAAAGCACTGTGACCACACTGGAGCGTTACAGTAAATCAATGTACAGTAAAGCACTGTGACAGCACTGGAGCGTTACAGTAAATCACTGTACAGTAAAGCACTAAAGCGTAAAGTAAAGCAGTAAAGCGTGGTCAGTGAGGGTGTGTGTGAACATTGCATTGTGGGATACAGTATCTGTCTTCCACTGTATTTCATGATGAATGTAGAGGAACATAGAATACAATCACACACACATTATAATGTTAGAACAGCTTGTGCAGGGTTATTATAGTGTTAATTTCACTTGTTAACTGATTTTTTGCTTTTGTGCAATTAAATGTTTATTCATTCATGCGATGAGATGATCATTATTGTGTGTGTGTTTCAGAGACGCGGTTAACCAGCAGAAAAGACTCGTGTGTGTCGGCCTCTCGCCATCAGAACTACACGAGAAACACAGAAGCGCACTGACCACACCACTGCCTCCTGATAAACGAGGTGTGTGTGTGTGTGTGCGTGAGCAAATTAACCTGATTACACGCAGCACCGTTAAATCAGAGAAATGAAATGTTAATGTAAGAAGTTTTAAGTGAGAAATGTTCATTTACACTGCTGAACTTTTAGCCCACTTTCATCAGATCTTTCTTTCTTTCTCTTTTCTAGTTCCCATGGTGACTATCGCTATGTAGTGCTATTTTTACCAGTGTAACAATGCAGTCTTCACACAGCAAACATAAAGAAACTGTGTGTGTGTGTGTGTGTGTGTGTGAGTGTGAGTAAATGCCAGTAAATTGACTATTTTAACATTTAACATCCATCTCAGTATCTTTCCCTTTAGATTCATTCCTGTAAATGTGTTTTTTTGTGTGTTTTAAACATAAATCTGAAATAAGTGTGCACTTACATGTGAAGCGTCTCTCTCTCTCTCTCTTTAGTTCTCATCATACCGTTAGTGGACCTTGAAGAAGCCATGGTCATATCGCTGATTTTGGTAAGTTCTCTCTCTCTCTCTTCACCTCTTCGGCTCTGAACGAATGAATCCTGGGTTTAGACGAATCAATGTCAGGGTTTTTTTTGCGTGTGGAAATATATTATTGCTCGTTATTTTTAACGAGTGGCCCAATGTTGCAGCTTTACAGGCGACATTAGTCCAATTAAAGTGTTTATTTCTAATTGAGTAATAAAACTATGATTTTATGAGATTTTTGAGTGCCGAGGAGAAGTTTTATTGCAGCGACAAAAAGAATAGTTTGTGACCGATTATACCAGATCAAGAAGGAAGTTATGGATTGTTTAGCGCTTACCAGGTTACTGATGGACGACAACAAAACGAGAAACATTCGTTTGAGCTGAGTTTAGTTACCGTAATGTAAATCCAAATTCATCCCGTCACCATCAAAACACAGCTTTTGCTTCAAATTCTCCACCTTTTCTCAAGACATTTCGTGTCAAACTCATGTGTGTTGAATGAATAAAATGTAAGTAATAATATATAAATATAGCATTTAATTGCACAAAATATAAGCAAGTAATTTTCACCAAATATCAGCAGATATTAAACGAAGAGGTAATATTAAATGATGTGCTAGTATTTTTTGCTCTATTGTGCCACTAAAGCCCCAGCACAACGACACACAGCTGAGTTTCGCTAGTGGACGAACCTGCGGCTTTAAATGTCAACGATTCAATGACTCGAACATAAACACAGCTTTTGCTTCAAATCCTCCACCTTTTCTCAAGACATTTCCTGTCAAACTCCATATATTTGTGTTGAATGAATAAAATAAATATAGCATTATGCAAATGACAATATAGCAAATGTCAACGATTCAATGACTCGTTCATAAATACAGCCACTTGCTTTGTTACTGAGTGAACGAACGAATGATTCAACGACTCACTCATTAAGACTAGTTAATTGTCGCCACCTACTGGCGGTTTTAGTTTATTATTTAAAAGTATCACTTCGTTTTACCATCATTTCACAATTTTTATGCCATTGTAATTGCATTCATGCTCCCTCATTTGATCAAAAATACAGTAAAACAGTGTAATATTATTATTATAATGTAAATCATCTGTTTTCTATGTGAATATACAGTAAAGTGTAATTTATCATCATTACTCCAGTCTTCAGTGTCACATGATCCTACACAAATCACTCTAATATGAGGATCTGATGATTAAGAAACATTTATGATTATTATCAGCATTGTACTCTGTCATAATTTTGTAAAAACTGTGATACATTGTAGTTTTCAGGATTCTTTGATGAATAGAAAGTTCAAAACAACAACATTTATTTGAAATATAATCTTTTCTAACATTATAAATGTCTTTACGGTCACTTTTGATCAATTTAATGCATCCATGATGAATAAAAGTATTAATTTCTACAATATTTGGATCAGATTCACTTTATTTCAGTCCTTTAGTGTTGATGCTATTAGATCAGCCGCTGTGTGTCATGGGAAATGTGTGTTTAGTGTCTCTCTGGGACTCTTGCAGACAGACTCAGGGTCAAAGGTCACAATGTGACCCCTAAAATAAATGGAGCGAATCGCCAGAGGACGAGTGTGTGTGTGTGTGCTGGCAGAAATAGAGCAGGTGTTTAGCTGAGGGAAGTAATGTATTGTGTGATTTATGTGACACACTGTCTCTCTCTCAACAGATCTGCTGTAAAGCGCCGACAGAACAAGACGAACAAAACCTCAACGTCCTGGAAAAACACGTAAGACACGAGACCAACACACACTTCACACACACACATATAGAGCTTAACCCTCTGGTGCACTCCGCGTGTCCGTCAAAGATGGCGTTTTTTTATTTTTAATTAAATTAATGTAAATTTTTTTTTGTTTTTTAGTAATATTTTGTATTTTTAGGGT